TAAATATATACAAATATATATTGTTAAATATAAATATCATATATAAATATATATCTTTAAATATAAATATACTTAAATATATACCTTTAAAAATAAACTAATGCTAGCTATATTCAGGGGGAAAGGGCTATATTCTAGCCATGTAATCCATGGTACTGATTTTCATCCTAGCAGATATTGAAGAATTCAGCACTCAGATTCTATCAGTCACAGGGCTTTCTCTGCTAGCCCTAAGAATCACAGGACCTTATAAGATGAAGACCTAAAGAGCTGTTTGCCCAACCGAAAACTATGAAGAGGACAATGTTAAGAGAATCAAAGGGAAAAATAGAGAGGCCAAGAGACTCTCAAGCCAAAAAGGGTAGGAAGGTGGAAGATGAGGCCAAGACAGAATAAGAAAGACATTTTATTTTAAAGATTAAAGAAATGTTGCCTTGTACATGTTAGTTTTCTCCTTGCTAATAAAAATGACTTTTAGGAGTGATACTCCTGTCCCAAAAACATGAAGTCATGATGTTATCAACCATTAACTCCTGCAACCTCCAATGCCCTGAGAAATGCCTAGATTGCCCCTTCAGAATTGCCCTAAACGTCATCACTTATTCCAGACTTTTCCCAGAATTGCATCAAACGGTTACATTTAAGATGAATAAAAGATGACTTACGATTTAATAGTAATATTTTTAGTCTTATTTCATTATAAGCATTGAAGGCCAGGGAACTGATGATTATTGATTTTTTTTTTTTTTTTGGTGTTTAAATGTTTATAGTTTTTTCTTTTTAAATGAAAAAAAGTGAATAAAGTGCTTAATAATGCTGCCCATTATATATCAGCTCTCCCTATTGGGTCATGGGGAATGGGCAAAGGTGCTGGCAGAGGGCAAGCAAGGGACAACAGGGAGATGGACACCAGAATATCACTAGAAACCATAAAAGGTGCTGGCCCCTCTAAGGCCTGTTGCTTTACAAATAGGTCCCCAAAGTAACCACCAAAAGAAAATTTTGTTGCACTTCAAGATCCCCTGTACAGTTAAAAGTCAAGTTTTATTTCTGACTGAACCTGAATAGCTCCAGGGCAGAGTTTGATCCCAGCTCATGTTCAGCGGTGAGGAAGTCACAGAGCCAGCCATATGTTCCCATGAAACAACATGCTGTGAAGTGAGGGGAATTGCTGCAATTATTCTTCAAAGGCTCCTGGTGGAAACACACTTGCTAAGGCTCTCTATGAAAAAAAAAAAATACAGGTTTCCACCTAAAGCACAAATTTCATAAAAACTCACTGGAGCAAGATTATGAGAAAAATGGAGATAAGACTCAACTACACTATGTATAGGTGCCTTGAAAAATGTCTTATTTCTATTCTTCTGATTAATTGGGCTTTTTTTATCCTAGTGCTTATTTTGGTATGAAATAGTGTAGCTGTTCAGCAGGTATCTGGCATCTATTCTGTATTTATGAGAATTTGTAATTACCTTTAGGAACCTGAAACCAAAATTAATAACTGGGTTTACACACACATTTGTGTCTTCTCTGCCTCCAACTCTCCAATGATTACACAGACGTATGGGACCACATTGAGAAATCTCCCTCACAGAAGCCATATGAAGACTAAGCTCTGAAGCTATCACTGAAGTTGGCACTCAATAGGGTGTATCCTTTTAAATGGAATCCATTTGAGAGGAACCAGTGGGGATATCTGAAGAGAAATCCTGGAGCTCACTCTCCTTGGAGAAGTCATTTAATCCCTTTTCTTCCTATTTGCTCTAAAAAGAAAGCAAATGATACCATCCCCTTCCCTCATCCTGTTTTGGCTTCCTGAGTCTTTCCTTGCCACTTGGCGTAATAGCCAACAACAATTGATTCCGAAAAGAGAAACTTGGATATGTTTTCTGTGACAGGAGTTCTGTTTCCATTTCTGCTAGCTGACAAACCCCGAGTGTTTATCTGTCATCACTAAATTCTGTAAAATGCTGAGTGGTTGTCAATGAGGTCACGACTTTTTTCCTTAGCCTAATGGCATATTTATTTAAGTAAAGTCCATATTAGGGAACTGTAAAGCAAATAAAGACTTTTATAGAATAGTAGATAATTTTCATTACTAAAGACTTTATTCAAGCAGAAGGCTAAGTAGACACAAGTTTGATGTGCTAAAAGGGATTGTAGCCAACTTCTTACCATCCTTTGCCTTTTATACTTGTTTTCCCACACATGATTTCATTTGATCCTTGCAGCAACCTTGAGATACTTCATATAGGTGTTATTCCAATTTCACAGCTAAGAAAACTGAGTCTCAGAGAAGTTAAAGTAGTTTTCTGAAGATGACAATTCTAAGGGGCAAACGTATATTTAAATCTAAGTTTTCTGACTCCAGTACTCATTTTCCTTTCATTATGTCTTACTCCATTCAACTAAATACATAAATCATTACATTAGGGACAGACCATTAAAACAACAAACAGTTTGCTGTTTTTTTAAAAGCTATTAGCAGCTACATAGGCCTCTAAAGTCTGGCAACCTCAGCAAAAGAGCAGACAGATGCAGAGCCAAGACATTTCGTAACTAAAATCTCCAGTGTCTTAACTCCTGAACTTGACCCTTCCAATTATAAAGCCTCGCAGTTGTTTTGATTAATTTATCTCATATAATTATTTAGGGAAATGTAAATCCTCAGTCATCAAGTAAATATCCACTCCCTAGATTCTATAATTAACATTTTATGATACTTGCTTTACTACATATCTACCTGTGTTATCTCTCTGTCCAACCAGCAATCCATATTATTTTCCTAAACCTGCAAACATCAGTAAACTTTTCTTGTAAACAATTCAGCATATATAATATTAACTGAGTTCAATATTGGCTTTTCTTTCTTTTTTAAGTAAAATTTGCATGTAATCAAATGCAAATCTTAAGTGTACCATTCAATACATTTTGCCAAATGTATACACCCATGTAACTAAACCTCCACCTAGATATAGAATATCACCCTTACCCCAGAATGTTTACTTATGCTCCTTCTCAGCCAATTCCCCACCACTGTTCTAATATTTACCATCTGTTTTACCTGTTCTAGAGCCTCATATGAATGAAATAATGCAGTATTTATTCTTTTGTGTAAGGATTTTCTCATTCAAGATAATGCTTTTGTGATTAATCTATGTTGTTTTGAGGATCAAGAGTTAGCTTCGTTTAATTATTAAGTATTATTTTATTGTACAAATTACTAATTTCTTTAACCATTTTTCTCAGTTTGTGATTAATCTAAATAAAATACAATGAATATTCTTGTAGAATTCTATTTGTGGATATGTTTCTATTTCTCTTGGCCAAATACCTAGAAGTGGAAATGCAAGGTCATAGGATGGGTGTATGTTTAGCTTTATAAGAAACTTCCAGAACTTTTTTCAAAGGTGTTGTAGACCATTTAATTCCCACCAAAAATGTATGAGCATTTCTGTTGCTCCACGTCACCACCAACATTGGGCATTATGAGTCTTTTTACAGTTACCCATTCTGGCAGGCCTTTATCATATTAATTTTTGAACTACAAAATAAGAATATTAACAATAGAGAGGGTTTCCACTATCAAGAGGCAACTTAGGCAAAGTCCGTATTCATGTCATCCTCCTACAGCAGTTCAGGTTTCCTAAGCCATATGATTTAGTCATTAAATCCTGATCTGTGAGGAGTTGGTTGAAAGCAGATTTATAATTTGGTCATTATTTTAAAGGGTTTTGGATTCAACTTGAGCTCTAAAGCACTGAAATTTTGTTAAATTTAATCTTAGCGTTTTTTCTGTTAATACTAAGGCTTTGAAATTAATCAAAATGATTAGCTTAGCTCTTGACTTACACTCAATAAAAAAATAAATAATCGCAATCTAATCACTAATTCATAAAACATATTTGACTGAATTAAATGCCTAACCCTCAGGGGTGACTCTCATAGACCTAAACTCCGATTCACTAGAGTGAATTGTGTTAGACTAAACATAAGTCACTTACATGTGGTAAAGTTGCCTCTAAGTTAAGTTGCTTCCAGTTCCTGTAGGAATTACACAGGTCCAATTTCATTTTAATGTAAATATTTCCTTAGGTCTTGTAATTTATTCCTAGGAAGTCTCAAGCTTTTATTGCTATTTTCTTAGCTCTTCTTTCACTCTCAATGATTCAACTCTTACTCATTTGTTATTAAAATAACACAAATGCTCTTAATATTTCTCGAAAATGTATTTCAGTCACTGCTTATAACATCAGAAGTATTATAACTCGTTTGACAAATTGAGTTTCAATGAACTTTCAGTAATCACTAATGGTGATAAATATTAAAGCTCTAAAGAGGGATAAATAAATTGTACAAGGCCTGAGGTTAATGTAACTTGGTCTAGGCATCATGAAACTCTAACATAAAAGATACCTTAGCTTTTTCACTCTTCTTTAAATACTCCCTTTCTTTTGCTATATTGCAGTTTCCCTAGGCATTAAAGGATAACATATGAATGTGTATACGACTTTGTTACCCAGAAAATTTATGATGCAACTTTATCATCAATTAATTTTTTTTTAGGCAGGTTGGATTTCTGGTGGCACCTATTCAGTTCCTTCTTGTAACATTTTTGAGGGGCCCAGTTTCCAGAATCTCTGTGGGTTAGAGGCATTTGGGATATGGCACCCAAATAAATGTTTTGAATTAGGCATTTTAACCTGTTTTGACTTGCCTTTTCTCAGAAGCACCTAAAACATGCTTTACCTCTCTTTTTCTAGCTGTAAAATAATAAAATATATTGGTTCTTAAAATATGTTAATATGGTAGTCATTTGTTTAAATTACATAAAATGTCATCCATATATGAAGTTTGCATATTTTTGAAACTAAGCCACTAGGCACATATTTTACACTTCTGAAAATAAGAACGTTCCATGGCTTGGATGCCACTGTACTGGCTAATTGTCCCACTCATAAAATGTGCAATACATACAACAGATTTTTTTTAATCAGCATATGAGTGTTCAGCATCATATACACTAAAATTGAAATGATACAGAAAAGATTACCATGGCCCCTAAGCAAGGATGACATGCAAATTCGTGCAGCATTTTATATTCTTCAAAGTTACAGTTAGATAAAAGGAATAACTTTGGTGTTCTATTGCACAGTAAGTAGGGTGACTATAGTTAACCATAATGTATTTTATATTTCAAAATAGCTAGCAGAGAGTATCTTGAATGTTCTCACCACAAAGAAATGATAAATATTTGAGGTAATGGATCTGACAACTACTCTGATTTGATCATTACACAATATACACGTGTATCAAAACCTCACATTATATACCATAGTATGTACAATTATTATGTATCCATTAAAAATAAAATAAAATAAAATAAAAATCTGCCTGTGAACCACCAAGGCCAATGTTATCTGTAGGTGAAAATAGGCAGCTGATATTGGGATGATGAACCAACATAGAAAAGACCTGTCTGCCTTAAAATATTTTCCCTTTGCCCTTCTTGTAGATTAAGACATTATCTTCAGATTCTGCTCTGAAAATCAATGTATTAGTAGATAATATACAAGGATCAATTTTTATTACATGAACCATTAATGCCCATTATCTGTTCAGAATCTAGCAGGTCCATGAGGGAATAGGACACAGTCAGAGACATTTTGACAGGCTGAAGATGATATGAAATAATCTGAGGGGTGTGTGTGTGTGTGTGTGTGTGTGTGTGTGTGTGTGTGTTTCTGGGTATGTCTGAATGGGGTGGTATGAGAGAAACTCCAGGTGGTAGGAGGACAGCTTGAGGGTGGAAGGCAACTATGGGAGGATACTCTGAAAAAAAAACCCGATACTTTCCCCAGAAATACATTTGCTTCCAATGTTGGCCTAGGGTATTTGTGACCCATAAGACAAAAATGAAAAAATTACATCTTTTAATTTTCAGATAAAGCCAAATTTTGCATGAAAGCTCTTTTGAGATACTTTATTCTGTCTGACACAGGAAAGACATGTGCAGGCATCACTGATGCTGAGGCTAAGAATTTTGCATTTTCTTGTGTTATATAAGCCATATGGTTAGATCGACTCTTGCTCATCTATTGAAAATGAAAACTAATTATCATTGTAAAGTGCTGTGCACACACAAATTCTCTTCACTGTGATTCCAGAACTTGAATCCACTATTTTTATCTGATAATTACCTCTTGATATTTTGCCACTGACCCACATTACAAAGAAATCAAATACAATTGCTATATTTAAAAATCAGATTTCATTGCATTTTAAATTAATAGGGACAGCAGTAAACTTAACTCATTAAGACATTTGATAGAGTTCACTTTTAGTTTTTCTTTTATTTCTAATCTCTCTCTAAACCTTATCCCTTTTATTTGATTTACTTTATTCAACAAGTTAGTCTCATAAAATAGAGTATTATTTTATCAACAACTAATTTTTCTCTCCTTAAACAAAAACAAAAGTGACTGCTTCCTGTTTTATCATATTCACATTTATATATGTTTTATCATATTTAACAGAAAGACACAAGGACTTTAGGATAAATTTTAGACCATAAGTTCAGTGTATATAGCTTTAGATTGTTAAGTATACTTAACAGAATTTTATTACTTTTCTTTTTTCATAAAATTTTGATTTTTTGATTAAAAAACATTTGGTCTTTCATAAGTTAGCCATAGCAAACAATAAAGGAAGATCCTTTAAACTGAGACAAAAAATCTTGATAAAAATAATTTGTAAATTGCTCTCTAATCATATTGTACTAGGGCCCTAATATCAAAGAGCTGACTTACAGCTGGTAATTGAATTGCTCTTGTCAGTTTCTCTAAAAACAAGTCTTTTTAATCTCTTCTTGCAGGCTAGGAGATTCTTATGGTTTAAATATATTTTGGAATTTGTTCCAACAGCTAAATTGAAGATGTCTGATATTTTCAATTATGTAAAGCATTTATGATTTTAAGCTCCCAGCAGAACTCTGCTGCTGAAAGGGGAAAAAAATTAAGAACTGTTAGTCAGAAAGACGCTTATATAAGAACTGTCACATTGGTCATTGGTTTGAAAGCAGGAAGTCCCATATTTTAGGATCAAGGCTTTAAGGAATCTTTATTGAGCATTGTTCCCTCTCGGAGCTGAGACAAATGGCTGATGAGTGAAATCTGAGAATGTTCACAGCTTTTCTCTTTCATTCTCTTGCAGCCCAGAAGATGGTGAGATCCATCCAGAAATCTGTCGGCTTTACATCCAGCTGCAGTGCTGCTTAGAAATGTATACCACAGAGATGCTAAAATCCATATGTCTGCTGGGGTCTCTTCAGTTTCATCGAAAAGGTATCTATATTTAATACTGCCAAAAACACTGAGGAATGTTGAACAAAAGCTAATCTTTGACAAAGTGCCCATATATACCATATGCCTACCTATATGCAATTAGAATGAATTTAAATGTTCAGGAAATGTTTGCTATATAAATTAATAAGAAGTCTATATCAGTACTATGTAAGTGTATAAGAACACTAATTGTTTTGAGCAAAAATTAGGGTAGCAACAGTTCTCAAATTTATTGCCTTAGCTGTTGTGAACATGACTTGTGTTAGATTCAGCATAAACAGCAAAATATGTACTGATTTTACTGGGGGAGATAATGCTATCCAAGAGTGCTATTTTTCTAAATGAATTAAGTTGCAAGAAGATGAATTACATAGTGTCCCAAAGATTTAAAAATAGAGGGAACTCCATAAATACCAGGGAGATTAGTAATAAATAACCTCATTTTCTGGCTTAAACCATAAAGGAAATATATTGGCTCAAGGGAATGTACCCTCCAGAGGTAGTCATGGCTTCAGCATGATTTCACCAGACTTCCAACTCCCATTCTAAATGATGCTCTGCCTTCTGGATGTTGGCTTTATCCTCAAGCTGGCTTCCCTCACATTAGCTAACTGCAACAATTGTAGTCATCACATCTGCACCTCACGCTGTCCACTATGAGAGAGAACTTCTCCCGACTACAGAGCAAAAGTTCTGAGCTTCATTCTGAATGGACCAGGCCTATGCCTAAACCAATCACTGTAGATAGAGGGGAGGAATTCCACTGACTGGTTAAGGCAGTCAAGGCCTATTCCTGGAGCGAGAGGGTGGAGTCATCCCCACCAACCAGTGGATATTCTGTGATGGAAAAGGGTGGAATGGGAAGGATGCCAGGCAGGAAGCCAAAAGTATCCATCACCAGAGGATTCAACCTGTATTTTCTTTATTAATTCATTGAACAATAATTTACTGGGAACTTCTAGAATACAGTGTTTTTGTGCCTGAGCTCAGGAGAATGGTAGAGGGTGAGCTGTGCACAGAAGATAATCCTTGCCTATGATTTAAATTCAGAGATAGAAAAAGCCAGAGAACTTAGAAATACTCAGGGAAAATCTTAGGGTTCTGAAGCTAGGGTTCAGTTAGGGAAGGAAAAAGAAAGATATTTCATATGAAAAAAGAAGCATTTAAAGGAAAGATTTGAAATAAAATGAACATTTCCGTTTGGAGGGAACTAAAGGACATGAAGTAGTTGTAAAAACCAAACCTTGTATATACATATATGTATGCACACAGGTGGACTAAAAACAAGACTCAGCTACATTGCTCCAGAGACAGGAGAACATTTTTCCCAATATGTGCATATTATGTCTTTATCTTTTTACCTTCTGAAGGCTGATCTTGCAAGGGTTTCTATCTTTACTTCTGTTATTAATATAAGAGAGATTAGCTCCTTAATATTCCTAATGCCTGATCAGAAAATTGAATACTCAGACACACTCATGACATCCAAACTGATGTCATTGGCCCGATGTCTCTCTCTCTCTGTCTCTCTCTCTCTCTCTGACACACACACTCACACACACACACACACACAAGCATGTACATGCATTCACATATAAACACACATACAGAGTAGTATTTTCATTCTTTTTAATGACTGAATAGACAACAAATAGGTAGTTTATTCCCAGGTCTGCATTGGCTGCACCTGCAGTATTTTATGCCCTGTTGCCACTGGAATCTTCCTTGCGGATGGCATGTCCTAACACCCAGTGATCTCTACTCCCACTCCTGCTCTAGCTCCCCAATTTGCCACCTGGTCTCCTTTTGCCATCCACTCCTTCTTTTTGTCTTTTCACAATTGATTTTTTAAAAAGCAACAATTCTCTGCTAGCTCTTTCTTTATAACTAAAAGGGATTTCTCCATCCAGACTGCTTCCTCATTGCATTTGGTCATTTCACACAAATGAAAAGCAGTCGCCTCTTAACTGAGAGCTCGTTTGGTCTTCATTGCCTCCTGTCTTCACTGTCAGCTTCTGCTCTGCTTCCTTCTCTGCCTATTTTAAAAAATAATTAGATAAACTGTTGCCCCCTGCTCTAGTGCCTAAACTTCCTTGTACAACTCGTAAAAAGAAAATACCTGATAGTATGTTTGATTTCTCACCCATGTAGGATTAAGTGTCCACTTGGATTTCTATCTTCTAAAATCATTATTAAAGTGTAATCCTTAGAAAATCTGCTTCAAATTTAACCAGGATGCTGGATAAACATGCAGATGTCTGGATCCTATCCAAGGACCTACTGAATTCAAATCTCTGAGGGCACACCAAGTGATTCTGAAACACAATGAGGATTAAGAACTGCTCCTGTACCCTTTAAGACCAAAAAAAACCGTAAATCACACCCCACCCTGCATATGAATAAAAGGAAAAACTTCCAAGCCCTTACCATGCCATTCTGCTTTGCTACCGTCTACTCCCCTAATTGTACACTTTCATTGTGGCTTTATACATTCTTCTTTCTCCCCCATGCTGATGAAAAGCAAATACAAAAGGGATCGGTGCCTCAGATGAGTGTGAGCTGTGTGATGGCTCATACAGTGCGCTGTCTCCAGGAACTGGGGATGAAACCACTGAAATAGGCAGTGGTTCTCAAAGCGCAGCCCCTGAACTAAGAGCATCAGTGTCCAAATCATTTGTTAGAATTGCAAATTCTTAGTCCTCACCCCAGACGTACTGAATCAGAAATGCCTCTAAACATACTTTTTTAACTGCTGGCAAAAAA